TATGCAGTGGCTTAATTATGTGAGCACAAGTGTACATAAATTGTGCTGCGCAAGAGAGGAAATGGGATGTAAAAATCTCATCAAATGTACAGGAAAAATTATTATTATAATTTACTGTATGCATATGCTGTATTATTTGACCAGCCCTGAACGCACTGTTAATACGTTAAAAGCTTGTATAGCCCTCCACCACATAAAGGCTTCATGGAACATAATGGGCTTGACTGTGATATATTTACATACATAGATTTGGTCGCATTCCGAATTCGAAAATTCTAACCAATTTATAATCCCATTTCTTTATGCAATCCGGTCATATTTACTTAGTTTTTAATTCTAGAATGTGTCTATTCTCCGTTGTATGCGTTGTGTCTTTAGGTTGCCGTGCGGACTTCGAGTTTTAGAAATCAGTTTTCATTACGCTTACACATTATTCCCCACATTCTACCTGATATAATTACTTAACATATGAGACAGCTGTCACTCTAAAAACATTTTGAAAACTCTAAAAAAGCACTCTATTCCTAATTCAAGCGACTAATTATTGAACAAATGGATTTCGGTTGAGACGAATTAAACATATAAGTACTACATATATAAATTTTAATTAAAGCTAATCAGATCCGTAATCCGAACTTTGACATTTTCTTCCTTTTCCTTTTTCTCTCATTAAATAATATTTGTGTATTTAATTTTGCTGACACATGCTGATACTTTGTCTAAGAGCAATGCGTATGTGTTGCTACTTTGTTTTGTACGTAGATATGTATACAGTGCTGTTAAAAATAAATGTGTTATTAAGGGCTATTTGACTGAAAGTTATTTAGTTCTAAATTAATAACTGGAATAGCAAATTTCGACGACAAAATTTTCGGAAAACTTTCATAGCAGAAAAAAATCATTCGTATGCTTCTCTGAGCCCTTTACTGAAAGCCGTATCCTAATTATAATATGGGTTCGCATTGTTTTATAGCTGAAGATATAGAATAAGTTCAAGTTATAGTTTTTATTTGATTTTAACATAATTTTTTTTCAAAAAACAAGCAGAATTTTGCTAAGGAAGTTACACAAGCTTTGTTGGATTAAAGATTGTATTATCTGCTGCCATACAAACTCAAGTCCTTGTAAAGAAAATTTTTTATTTTATTTTGCAAAATATCTTCACGAAATTTTTCATATATTATTTTCAAAGAATATGCTACATTATCCGAACATATTGTTCAAATCAGACCACCATAGCCTATAGCTGCCATATAAACTGATCGAT